AGAAACCGTAGTGATACACACACACACACACACACACGCACTCTGCCCCCACCATCCCTTGTAAACAGCAATGCGAAACACACTCTGCCTCCAAATTCGGAGCATGCGCAGCGAACCCGATGCGGCCTCCTCACACCATCCCTGTCAACAAAAACATACAGAGTACACTTGGCGGCGGCGGCGGCGGCTGCGGCGGGGGTAGCGGCTGCGGCTTCTGCGGCGGTGGCGGCGGCGGGTTCGGCGGCGGCGGCGGCGGGGGCGGCGGCGGCGGCGGCGACGGCGGCGGCGGCGGCGGCAGCGGTGGCGGCAGCGACTGCGGCGGCAGCGGCTGCGGCGGCGGCGATTTGGCAGCGGGGGCGGCGGCGGCGGCGGCGGCGGGCGACGGCGGCGGCGGAGGCGCGGTGGCGGCGGCGGCGGCGGACAGCGGCGGCGGCGGCGGCGCGGCAGCGGCGGCGGCGGGCGGCGGCGGCGGCGGCGGATGCGCCCCCAGTGGCTGCCCATTCAAAGACGACTGCTGCATATGCTGCGGCTCGGGCCAGGCTCGGGTGCTACGTCTGTGTTGGGGAAGCGGGTGGGAGTGAGCGAGACGGCTTGCGGGTGGGGAGGGAGACTCTTGACCCCTCCCCCTACCCCCTCCTCTGGACCTGGACGGGGAAGTTCGCGAGGTGTCAGGGCGTCCAACACGGCCTCGGCGAGGAAGCCAACATCATTGGTTTTACCGGGGTTTGGGCCCCATGTTGGCCTCCTGAGGGGGGGGGCCTAATTAAAGCCCCCCTCTTGTTTGATCGATCTCCTGGGCCCCAAGAGGTCCCAAGATGGCCCCAAGATGGCCCCAAGAGGCCCCCAAGAGGCCCCCAGGATGCCCCCAAAAGGATCCCAAGCTGCCCAAAGAGGCCCCCCGAGGCACCCAAGACGCCGAAGAGCCCCCACGACCGCCAAGAGATCCCCAAGACGTCCCAAGATGCCCAAGAGATATCCCAAGACGTTCCGAGAAGCATCCAAGAGACCTCTGGCCCTTTTGCTTGCTCTCCTCCTCCTTCTCCTCCTCTTCCTACTTCCTCCTCCTACTCCTTCTCTTCCTCCTCCTCCTCCTCCTCCGCCTCCTCCTCATCCTATTAATCCTCCTTCTTCCCACTCCCTCATCCATCCATCCATCCATCCATCTACCTCCTCCTTCTCCTCCTCACTCCTTTGCACGGTTCGGCCGTCCCCCTCTTTGCTGCCGCACTTCCCTGATCACCTGAACTCGCCTGGACATCGTTTCTGGATGGGCTGGTCTAGACTAGTTTCCTGCTGTTACCCTTCCTCCCGAACTCCATTGTTATCATGCTCGCAATGCTCGCCATCCCTTTTCCCACGCTCACGGTTTTCCTCCTTCCCAACGTCCGCTTCTTCACAAACAACATCTTCATATTACATTCGCATGGCCCACACTTAAAACATGTCATCGCCGCAATCGTCACCATCACCGACACTACCATAACAATCACTACGCTAGCCAACACAATCACCTACACCATTATTACCGTCTAGGGTGCTATCATCATACTGGATCGCTCGGAACTACATGTAATGACTATTCTTGCTCTTCCTTCAAATCCTGCCGCTAAAATTCCTCCACCCATAATCGACTTACCACCCGCTGTAGACGAGTACTACGCACGGCAATGCAAAGACTACATAGCACGAAATCCGCACGCGTAACAACAATTCAAACATTTGGCGACGTTGAAATGAATTATCGTCCACTCTGGACCCTCCGACTGTTTGGGAACTTGTCACCCTGCGGACCCGTCACAATGTGAGCATTGCCGACGTTGCATCAGGCGCGTGCGCATGTCTGAAGCAACCCAGATGCCAATGTAGGAACGAATTTGCATGATACGGCGCGCTGGCGCGCGTCATGGCTCTCGCCGTCCTGCTCCTCGCATGTCCAGGCGTAACTTCGGCGCCACATTCTTCGTGGAGCGCGCAATCCTTCCGACATGTCCCGGGCAACTCGTATAAAGTGTAGGAACAGAATGGATAATCAGCGGACGCAATGCGGAAGCCGTAGAACCAAGGCCTCCGGAGTTCCAAGTTCAAGCTACCATGTCATTCGGGTCCCATGGCTTTACGCATTCCCAACTCGTTTCCTCTTCGGCTTCTACAGCGGATTCTCCCCTCAACTGTTGCCCAGTGCTGGTTGAAGCTTGTGCAACGACAAGGGTGGTCGGTTTTCGATACCGTTCGACATCCAGGGCGCATTGCTGACGTTACAGCGCCAACAGGGTCCAGTGCGCACGTGCTTCGAAACTAGCATGCAACACTCCACCACCAACTAGATCTTCCACACTCGCACATTTCGGAGGCCTGTTGTCGAAATGAACGCTCGCCAGTTTGTTTGCCCTGGCCCGTTCTCAAGGTTTACACAGTTTGCTCAGCGAGGAACGCGACGACGACCAAGACGCCGCCAAAACGAAACTTATACATTGCGCCGCACCACCCTCCCACTGCGATCGCGGAACGGTGACGACAATTTTCCAGCACCAGCAGCAGGGTATGATAGTGCGAGCGACCATACAGCATTTCAGCTCTGACCGGAGAGCAGGCCAGCCTTTCGAGCCGTGGGAAGCACGCAGCACGACCCTTCCCTTCGCCACGGTATAGTGCGAAAAGCGCTGCATAGATCGAACGGCGCGGCAGGCACCCTCTTTCATGCTAGGGTATATATATATACATACATATACCTAAATATTCAGAGAGAGAGAGAGAAAGAGAAAGAGAGAGTCTGTGTACGTGTATATGTCTACATATGTACATTTTACGGACAGCCCTCATGGCGAGCGCTGTGGATAAAAAGCGGCCAATCGTAGCATCAGCAGTGCCGTCAATGTCTCTACAGTCTACACCCCCATACGCACCCTTACATGCCAAGCCGAGTACACAAGTGACACGATCATGTGGGGGCGGCAGCTTTGCGCTCTAGTATGTGCGGTCCAAGGTGCGATGAAAACTACGGTGGCGCCAGCGCGGACTGCTTGGACACCGTTCGCACTTCGCCGCCACGGTGCGCCCCTGTGGTTTCTCACACCTCGGGTGCGCAGATGATTGCGTGCAGGGCACGCGCTACGATGGACCCCTCTCGAGGTACCGCTGCGCCGTGCGGTGCCTTGGGCACACGATCAGGGGGAACGATTGGGGGGGACTGGGTAAGGGGCGGGGTGGGGGAACTAGGGAAACAAAAAGTGACATAAACATAAAAACTCGGAGGTCCGCGCGGATTTCTCGGATCGGCGCTGGGGCCCCCTCCCCGGCGGCGCCTCCGGCGCCGCCCCTGGCGCGCTCCGCGCGCCAGGGAGGAGCGTCCAGCGCCGATCCGAGAAATCCGCGCGGACCTCCGAGTTCTTATGTTTATGCCACTTTTTGTTCCCCTAGACTGGGGGGGACTGGGTCGGGGCGGGCTGCCGGACGGCGATGACCGCACGATGGGGTGGCGACGCGGCCCCCCCTGAGCCCATACTTGGGGCGGGCCTGCCCACCATACAGGGGCATTTCGGACGAAAAATGAAAGATATTCGAAAAACGATCCAAAGATGCCCAAACATACTCAACAAAGAATCCCCAGATTATTTTTTGACTGTCTTTGGAGGAGGAGGAGGAGGAGGAGGAGGAGGAGGAGGAGGCCACGGCTCGGCTCTCCGGCGGCCGCTGGGGGCGCCCCCAGCACACCTCCGGAACGCGCCCGACGAGGCGCGGCCGCCGGAAGCCACCAGTGGGCATCGAAAGCCTCCGAACACGTTCGTAGGGCGACGAGATCTATACATATCCACTGCTCCTGGCCAGGCCCATCCTGGGCCCAGGAGCTGTGTATATGCCTCCCTGGCCAGGCCAGGAGGGCGTATACACCGCTCCTGGGCCCAGGATGGGCCTGGCCAGGAGCAGTGGATATGCATAGATCTCGTCGCCCTACGTTCGAACACTCCCCCCTCCCCCTGAGCGTCCAGTCGGGGCGTTGACCCAAGGAGCCCTAGACAAGGAACGAGGCCCCTTTTTTGTTCACAAGTTGAACTTCGATCTCCGATCGACAGCACAAGGAAAGCCTGAGGCGAGCTGCGAACCACTTGAGGAACGCGGAGCCCCTCCGCAACGAAAAGGGTTCCTTCTTCAGGGCCCCGACTGTATACCCCCCCTAGCGTTGCCGCTCACTGACGGTTCCCTCACATCAGCCGCCTACACACAAGAGTGGCCCTGGGCAGGAGTGACCCTTGATGCGCGGCTTTCGCGGCTTGCGGGAAGGGGGGGGTGGGCAGATTCAAGCGAATGCTAGAGCCACCCCTGTGGGCCCGCACCAAAGGTCACTCCGGCGAAGGGCCACTCTTTCGCGCTTACGCGTCGACGAATCACGGCGACGCCCCTTCCATCCCCTTGGGGACAAAGGGAAGACTCGGCCGGGCGAAATTCGGCCAGGCGGCCAGCCAGGCTCGACCAGGCTGAACTCGAGTTCGGCCTGGCCGAGTTCAGCCTGGCCGAGTCCAGTCTGGCCGAGTCCAGCTGGCCGAGTTAGGGGGCCACATGCGAACCCTGCCCCTACCCCCCACGACTTCTGAGGGGGAGGGTGGGGCTCACGTCGCTCGGGAGCTCCCGAACGAAGTGAGCCCCGCCCTCCCCCTCAGAAGTCGTGGGGGGTAGGGGCAGGGTGTTCGCATGTGGTCCCCGACGAGGTTCAGCCTGGCTGGCCGCGTCTCGCCGCTGCCCCCCCCTGGCCGAGTTCAGCCTGGCTGGCCGAGTCTCGCCGCTGCCCCCCCCTGGCCGAGTTGAGCCTGGCTGGCCGCGTCCAGCCTGGCCGAGCCCAGCCTGGCCGAGCTCCGCCTGGCTGGCCGGGCTCTCGCCGCTGCCCCCCCCCCCCCCTGGCGGGCGCGCCAGCGCCTGCTCGAACGGCACGCCCGTGTCGGCGGGCAGCCGCCCCTGCCCGGCCAGGAACTGGGCCAGGGGGTCCTCCGCGGCGCTCCCCACGGGCTTCAGCCTCTCCTGGGGGGCGGGGGCCGACGGCGGTACAGTCGGGGCGCTGACCTAAGGAACCCTACATAGGGAACGGGGCCCCTGTCTCCCATGAGTTGAACTTCGATTTCCCATGGAAAACTTCCGGAAAACAGAAGGCAAACTGTCGAACAATCAAGGAACACCGAGCCCCTCCCCAACGAAAAGGGTTCCTTCTTCAGGGCCCCAGCTGTATATGGTCTGGCCGGGTGGGTATGCCGAGACTGGACCGCGCACGGCACGGCAGGGGAGGGGACCAAAGGATCACAAAACTCGTCTAAATAGAGGTTCGACCTTCGTTCTAGATGTTTTTGTCGTCCGTTCAGGGTGCTTGCTTCGCCTCCGGTGGATGGTCGACCTCTGGAGCGGAGGTTTTCTATCCTCTTGGGAAGCGCCGCCGCCGCCGCCAGCGCTGCAACTCCCGCCGCGAAGGCGAGGGGAGAAACCAGGGGGTGGCTGTCGGGACGGGACGGAAGGGATGGGGAGACCGCGGAAGGGAGGAGGGACTGATAGTGTGAGAACGTGGAAGGGAAGAGGGATGGGGAGGACGCGGAAGGGAAGAGGGATGGGGACGGGGAGGACGCGGAAGGGAGGAGCCGGCATCGAGAACGGGGGGGGGTGAGGAGGACCAAGACTGACGGCGTGTGGCACGGCGAAGAAGAGGACGGTGAGGGAGGGGGCGAAGCGGAAGGAGGCAGGACAGGCCAGGTCGGGGGAGGAGACGGGGCGGGAGGAGGCCCCCCCCTTGCCGCGGCGGCCAGGAGTCGAGCTGTTCCATCGCACCACCGTTCCAAGAAACAAATGTGCGAGGTGTTTGGAGAGGACTGGGCTTCAGGGCTACTGCGCAGAAGCGAGCCGTGCTTGCAGAAGGGGAAACTCTCGAAGGCACGCTTCGACTACGTCCACCACCGGGCCGCGAGGCGCGAAATGGAGCGTCCTCAGGTCCCCTCGAGGTCTGTCTTGAAGATTGCAAATACTTTCTGAGGATCTCTGGAAAATACTTGGTGCTCCTGGGCTGTCTCGGAGCGTGTCGTGTGAAGTTTCTGAGGCCTCGGGATCGCGGTTCGGAATCCAAGCTTCCAACACATGCCCTGAGACGGCTCGAGTGGGGCTGTCCCGGAACTCTCTTCGTCCGTCTTGGAAGCCCCTGGGGCCGACCCAAGCGGCCCGAATCAGTGAAAACATGTACCATCTATGATTTTTGGCCTGCAGGGGGTCCGAGACGGCCCGAAAGGCCCTCCAAGATGGCCCTACCACGGCCTCCAGGCCCCCAAGAGGGGCCCGGGAGGCCCGCAAGAGGGCCCAAGAGGGGAACTTGAACGGCCCTGGTCGTCGTGCTCCTGGTCGTCGTGCCCCCGCGGGAAGGTCTGGTTTTTGCCCCCCTTCCAGCACCAGCCAGCGAGGCCATCGCAGCACAGCGCTCGGCGCCCTGGCAAGCCCGTTCCACGACCCGCCTCGCCGCGCCTCCGCGCGCCCACAGGGTGCGATAGTCTGCGCGCACTCTTACCTGCGCGCCCGGCGCTCCTCGCTGCACACACTTCGCCCGAAGGCTCGCCACGTCGGCGAGGAGTGGGAGCACGGAAAGCGGGCAGCCCTGCAAGAGCCCCCGCACAGGCGCGATCGGCTTGGCTGCACAGGCGTGGGCCGCGGGGCGGCTCGGCGGCGTGCGCTGTCCCTGCGGGCGCGCCGGGGCGGGCCAGGGTCCGGAGAGATCTTCGGTGGCGGCGGCGGTCAGGACGCTTCGACTGATATTCATCTTGGCCCCATGTTCAGCGAAGCCAACGGCTGAGCCGTCGCTTCTGCTGATGACCAGCTTGTTGCCTGGAATTCGATCATCCCTGCACTGTGTTCCAATATGGTCTCAAGATCAGGGGGCTCCGCCGAAGACGTGGCAAGGAAGGAGTGTTCCGTTAAGCTGACAGAAGAGGTATGTATGAAAGTGGGGGCGGCGCCTCCGCTTGCGTCCTCCGGGGGCGCCGCGGAGGCCTGGGCGGGCCTCGGCCGGCTCGGCCGGGTCTCTTGTGCGGGCCGAGGCTGGTGTTGGGGTCGGCCCGCCGGCCGGCCTGGCGGCGCGAGCGGGCGGCGCGAGCTGGCGGCGAGGTCGGCCACCCCCAACCTCCACGCAACGCTGGCGATGCTGGTCAGGAGGAGGAGGAGGAGGAGGAGGAGGAGGAGGAGGAGGAGGAGGAGGAGGAGGAGGGAGGAGAGGAGGAGGAGGAGGAGGAGGAGAGGAGGAGGAGGAGGAGGAGGAGGGAGGAGGAGGAGGAGGAAGGAGGAGGAGGAGGAGGAGGGAGGAGGAGGAGGAGGAGGAGGAGGAGGAGGAGGAGGAGGTGGAGGAGGAGGAGGAGGGAGGAGGAGGTGGAGGAGAGGAGGAGGAGGAGGAGGAGGAGGTCTGAGCTAGGGGGGAGAAGGAGGGAGGGAGAGGGGGGGAGAGAGGGCGAGAGAGGCGGGGATGGAAAGAGAGAGGGGGGGAGTGTGCGGGCGGGATCACAGAAGCACCACCCAGGGCGAGGGCGTACTTTGAGTGAAGACATGCCCCCCCTCCATGTTGGTCGCGCGCGCGCGGCGAGATGTTTGGGTGGTGCTGTGGCGATGTCGCTCTCAGGCGGCGGGGGTCCTGCTGGGGCCGGGGTCGTTAGAGCGGCCCCCAGGACGAGAAGGAGGAGGAGGGAGGAGGAGGAGGAGGAGGAGGAGGAAGGAGGAGGGGGAGGAGGAGGAGGGAGAGGCGGAGAAGAGAGGGGCGGGAGGAGGAGGAGGAGGGGAGGAGGGAGGGGGAGGAGGAGGCGGAGAAGGAGGAGGAGGAGGAGGAGGAGGAGGAGGAGGAGGAGGAAGAAGGAATGCACCCTCCCCGAGACCCACCACGGGGCCGACACGCAGCGAGGCCAGCGACAGGGCCAGGGCGAGCCACGACCGAGAGGAGCCCAAGAGAAGGAGGGCCACCGGGGAGGGAAGCCAGCGGAAGGAAGAGCCCGGACCGGGGATCTCGGGGGGGGAGGGGAGGGTGGGGGGGGGCAGAGCCCAGGGCAGGAATCCAGCCCGAGCTCTCCCCTGCCATGGCCGCTCTCCCCCGGGGCCCCTCTGCAGCGAGGGAGAAATCCAGCCGGAGCTCCGCCCTGGGGCCACCCCGCACGCATAGGACTCCTCCTCCCCCGCCAGGGCTCCGCCCTCGACCCCGAGCCCCGTTGGCGACGGGCCTGCGAGGCACCGCGCGCCTCGCGTCCTGACGCTGGGCGGGCGGAGCAGGAAACCCTGAACGAGACCCACCGCGGGAGCGGCAGGAGGAGCGCCCACCACCCCCCCTGGACGGACGGTGCCCCTCCCCGGGCCTCCTCCCCCCCTTGCTTGGCTCGCGCTCTCTCTCTCTCTCTCTCTCTCTCTTTCTTTTTCTCTTTCTCTCCTCTCTGGTCCCTCTCTCTCTCTAGAGAGAAAGGGACTAGAGAGAGAGGGAGAGAGAGCGATCGAGCGAGAGCGAGAGGGGGGGAGAAAGAGAGAGAGAGAGAGAGAAAACAAAAACAAAAACAAAAAAATAGAGAGAAGGTGGCACAGTCTCGCCTCGGCAGGAGGAGGAAGCGGAGGAGGACGGGAGCCCCAGGTTGTTTGACAAGCACTCCCCCCCCGTACCGCCCTGCCCGACGGCCCGACCCAGCGGCCCCGCACGCGCATCGAGCCCACCACCCCCATCAGGCGATCCGACCCCCCCCGCGCCCCGCGAAGGGCAGCCCGCTCCCAGGAGGACGCCGGCGAGACGTGCGGTAACCACTCCTGGCCAGGCCCACCCGGGGCACGGGATCGGAGCAGGCGCCCTCCATGGCTCCGGCAGGAGGGCGCGCACCGCGATCCTGGGCCCGAGGATCGGCCGGGCCTGGGTCGGGGCAGGTGCATGGCCGGTGCCCTCCGACTGCCGAATTACACCCCCGCCATGCCATCGCTCGGATGTCCACTCCCCGTGCGCTTTTCGGCGTCGTGCGTTGGCGTGGTCCTCGCCGGCCCTCGCCGAGAAGAAGCGCGTCTGCGTGGTCCTCGTGGTCCTCGTCCGCGTGGCCCTCGTGGTCCTCTGCGTGCATGCGTCTTCGGTTTGCGCTCGTTCCCCAAGATGCTCCTCCTCCTCCTCCTCCTCCTCCTCCTCCTCCTCCTCCTCCTCCTCCTCCTCCCCCTCCTCCTCCCCCTCCTCCTCCCCCTCCCCTCCTCCTCCTCCTCCTCCTCCTCCTCCTCCTCCTCCTCCTCCTCCTCGCCGAGAAGAAGTGCACACGCCCGAGCGATGCCAGAGCACACGCGATCTACACCGCCCCGCGCTTGCTGTGGAGCAGCTCGGAGGGCGGGCCCTCGGCGCGCCCGCGGCGCGGCGCGGGGGGGCGCCCCCTCGCGCGGGGTCCTCGAAGATGCACTTCGCCGCGCTGAGCATCTCCTCGGCGCGAGCTCGAGGCTCGAGGCTTCGAGGGCTCCGAGGGCTCCGAGGGCTCGAGGCCTCGAAGGCTCGAGGGCTCCGAGGGCTCCGAGGGCTCCGAGGGCTCGAGGTCTCGAGGCTCCCCGACCCGTGGTCGGCGGCCCCCGCGGCCTCGCGGTGCCTTACGGCGGCGGCGCCGCGCCGACGGGGGGGGGGGGAGAGCGGGGCGGCCACGGCACGGCTCTGAGGCCAAGAGAGAGAGAGAGAGAGGCCCTCTGGTGAGCGGAGAGGTCGGCGGGGGGGGGGGCAAGTCCGCGGGAGGCGAGCGGGCGGGTGCACGAGGCCGGCCTGCGCGCACGAGGCTCCCGAGCGGACGCTCCGCGCCCAGGGGGTGCGAGGAGTGCGCGCCTTCCTGCACCGCCCATGTGCTCCCCTCGCCCGCCGGCGTCGGTCAGACTTGGGGAAGGAAGGATCGTGCCATCGGGGATCCCAGCAGCCCTCTGGGCGTAGGTGGTTCAAAGGGTTCTCTATTCCGACGCGTCCCTTCCTCTTCAGGGAGGTGTGTCCCTGCCCCCGATGCGAACCCCAGATGTCTAGACGCAACGTTTCGCCCAGTGACAGAGGGCCGATTTTGGGTACGAGGTGGCCCCAAGATGGTCTATCATCCTGGTACTGGCACGATCGGAACCCACAAACTGGCAGCGGGACAAAGCATCGTAATCAAATCAGTCTGGCCTCGAACGAGAAACGGCGGCGACCAGGGTTCGAGCCACTCAGGTGTGCTCTGCGGCGAGATGCCTTCGAGTTATAATCTGCGTGCTATTCCTTGAAGCCCTACGAGAACTCTCAAGCCTGTTTCGGCTTCGCAGGTGATCGCAGGCCCCCCCCGTGCGTTCGCAGGCCCTCTGAGGCGCACTCCCGGGCGCTCGCAAGCGCTCGCAGGCGCTCGCCAGCGCGCCCAGGCGCTCCCAGGCTCTCCGTGGCGCTCGCGGGCGCTCGCAAGCGTTCTCGGGCGCCTTACATTTTAGTGCCCTACATGTATACAAATCGTTATGCATGCATGTATGTGTGTATGTATGTATGCATGCGTGAATGCATGCATGCATGCATGCATGTATGTAGGTGTGTATGTATGTGTATGTATGTACGCACGTAGGTATGTATGCATATCTGCAGGGGCGTTCGTTTATATGTATGCATGTATGCATTTATGTGTATGTGTATGTGTATGTGTATGTGTATGTGTATGTGTATGAGTATGAGTATGAGTATGTGTACGTGTATGTATGTATTATGTGTGTATGTATGTGTGATTAGATGTATGTACGCCTGTCTGCCTGTCTGTATGTATGCCTGTATGCATGTATGCATGTGTGTATACATGTAGGTGTGTCTGCGTGTCTGTCTGTCTGTCTGTCTGCCTGCCTGCCTGTCTGTCTGTCTGTCTGTCTGTCTGTCAGTATACATACATATGTATGTATGTATGTATGTATGTATGTATGTATGTATGTATGTGTGTGTGTGCAGGTATGTATGTATGTATGTAGGTAGGCAGTAAACATATACACAAAATTACATGTACATATATATATAGCGAGCGAGAGGGATATAGAGAGAGAGAGAGAGGAGAGAGAGATTGAGGGCAACAGACAAAAAGATGACAGCCAGAGCCCAAAATCCCCAACCAGCGTTTGTTTAGCCAAGGTGGTTCCTAGATGTTCCTAGGAGTACTCGCGCGTTCTCCTGCCTCTGACCCGCCTGCGCCGTCGTTGTCGTCGTCGAGCTTGTCGTGATCGTCGTCGTCGTCCTCCTCCCCCGCATCCAAGAAATTCTCCTTCTCGCACTCGCCATCCCCCTTCCACTACAGCTCCTCCTCCTCCTCCTTCTCCTCTTCCTCTTCCTCATCATCATCATCATCATCATCATCATCATCATCATCATCATCATCATCATCATCATCATCATCATCACCACCATCATCATCATCATCATCATCATCATCATCATCCTCATCCTCATCCTCCTCCTCCTCCTCTCCTCCGCCTTCCTCATCATCATCATCAGCAGCATCAGCATCATCATCGTCAGCATCCTCCTCCTCCTCCTCATCAGCATCATCAGCATCATTAGCATCATCATCATCAGCAGCAGTAGCATCATCAGCATCATCATCATCCATCTCATCATCATCATCATCATCATCATCATCATCATCGTCAGCGTCAGCATCAGCATCAGCATCAGCATCACATCAGCATCAGCATCAGCATCAGCATCAGCATCAGCATCAGCATCAGCATCAGCATCAGCATCAGCATCATCAGCATCATCATCATCATCATCATCATCATCATCATCCATCATCATCATCATCATCATCATCATCATCATCATCATCATCATCATCATCATCATCATCATCATCATCATCATCATCATCATCCTCATCTCTTCCTGGCGCTCCTCCTTTACCCTCCCTCCTCCTCCTCCCCTCCTCCTCCTCCTCTCTCCTCGTCATCCTCCTCATCCTGATCCTCCTGATCCTCCACCCCTTCCTCCTCCGCCTCCTCCTACTCCTCCTCCCCCTCCTCCTCCTCCTCGTCCTCCTCCTCCTCCTCCCCCTCCTCCTCGTCCTCCCCTTTTCCTCCTCCTCATCCCCTCCTCCTCTTCCTCTCCTCCTCCTCCTCCTCCTCCCCTCCTCCTCCTCCCTCTCCCTCCTCCTCCGTCCTCCCCCTCCTTCTCCTCCTCCCTCCTCTCATCCTCGTCCTCGTCCTCGTCCTCGTCCTCCCCTCCTCCTCCTCCTCTTCCTCCTCCTCCTCCCTCTCCCTCTTCCTCCCCTCCTCCTCCTCCTCCTCCTCCTCCTCCTCCTGCTCCTGCTGCTGCTCCTCCTCCTTCTCCTCCTCCTCCTCCTCCTCCTGTACGCGGGGGTCTGTTGACCAACTCAGCTGCCGAATGATTTGACACAGAAAACACTTGAGCTCACAATGCTACGGTGTGCGGTGGGCGGCAGCAAGGCGTCAACGAGCGGCAACGTGGCGAAGCCTCGGCAGACTCACCCAACTCTTGGGCAACCGCCGTGAGAACCCCCAAGTGCAAACACCGTCTGGGGAAGAATAATCATAATTAAGAAATAAGAATAAGAAAAAGGAGACTAGGAGGAATACGAGTGATGACAATAATGAAGGCAATGGCGAACAACAAGAAAAACAACGAGAAGAGCTTGGGCCCCTACGCCATAATCTGGGCATGGCGTGTCACCGGCCCTGACCGAGCGTACGGCGCAGGAGGGGGAGACTTTTGGCGCTCCTCCAGTGAGCGCCCCGAGCGTGCCCGCAGCCGCCATGCCCGCGCACCCTCACTGCCCACAGTAAGGAGGCCCGCGCCCCGGAGGAGCTCGACGGCGGCGATGGCGACGGGGGGGGAAAGGAGAACGAACCGCTGTCTCGCCCGCCAGTGTGGGCGGGCAGACACTTCCACATCTGACGTCGGCATCCGCCCTATTCTCCCGACGCTGTTTCTCCGAGCCGTCCTGCTTTTCTGAGGCGTGCGTCTCCGCCATGCCGGTTCGCATCGCTTAGGGTGCACTTCCGACGCAACCTTACGCCAGAAGCTCAACCAAAGTACGGCGGATCCGGAATCAGGGCAGGGCACGACTCGGATAAGACGAAGCCGGGACCAGGGCAATCAAGGGGCCCAAGGACACACAAATAAACACACACAAATAAAATGATCCCCCATATTTTCCTACATTTTCTGGGTGTTTGTCTTCCCGCCCAATATTCCAGTTTTTCCCATATCTTCTTGTGGATCGACGATTCATTGTGTCTGTGTGTTTCTTCCCCTCCGATCGTCTTCGGTACCGCCTGATTCCGAGGCTTTGCCCTCTCTTGGCCTTGACGTGAGGCCCCTCCTTCTGCCTTCCCCCCTCTGTCAATTAAAGCTGTGCGCGGCCCGCTTAGCTTCGACCGGAAGAGGTGCGTTCTCGACCCGCGGATAAATACACACAAATAACATGATTCCCCATATTCTCTGGGTTTCTGTCTTCCCGCCCAATATTCCCGTATTTTCCCATCTCCTTGGGGGTCGACGATTGAATTGTGTCTGTGTGTGTGCTTCCTCCCCCTCCTGGGACAAGGCCGGACCGCGACGGATCGGCGGCTCTGGAGGACGTGTGGGGGGGGGGGGCGCGGCCGCTCCAGAGCGCTCCGAGAGCGCTCCGAGAGCCCTCTGGAATTATATCGGGCGTGTCCCCCTACAGGGGGATTTTCGACGAAAAATAAAACAATACCCGCAAAATGCTCTCAAAAGGCAAAAACATAGAATCAAAAAATAGTCCCCAGACTATTGTTTGATTATTTTCTGGCTATTTTTTGAGGTATTTCTTATTTATCATAAAAAATCCCCCTGTAGAGGGGACAGGCCCGACCTAGCTCTGGAAGGAATTGTCCCGGCCCGCGGCTTCGAAGCGGTAGGCTCAAGTCGGGCGTGTCCCCCTGCAGGGGGATCTTCGGCGAAAAATTAGACCGACTCCAAAAATAGACCATACCCATAACAAGAATTGCCAACAAAAGGCTCCAACATCGTCCCCAGACGATTCTTTTGGGACTATTTTTGAATAGTCCCCCTGTAGGGGGACAGGCCCGACTGAACGGTAGGCGTGGGCGTGCCCTGGCGGTGGGCCTGGGGAACCAGCAGGCACCGAGGCCGCTGCTCCCCGGAGCCCTCTCCCATATGTGGTGCGCTCCGGCCAAGAAAGCTCGAGGCGAGTCCGAGGCGTGGCGACGGGGGCCCTCCGGGGGCGAGCAGCGGATATCCTCGGCACCTTTAGGGAACCACCGCGCTCTATACTACACCGACGTCTTTGTGCGGCCCTGCACGGCAGGGCACCTTCAGGGAACCGCGCTCTATACACCGACGTCTTGGTGCGGCCCTGCACGGCAGGGCACCTTCAGGGAACCGCGCTCTATACACCGACGTCTTGGTGCGGCCCTGCACGGCAGGGCACCTTTGGGGAACCGCGCTCGATACACCGACGTTTTTGGTGCGGCCCTGCACGGCAGGGCACCTTTAGGAACCGCGCTCTATACACCGCTCGGCACCTTTAGGGAACCGCGCTCTATACACCGACCTCTGCGCAAAAGAGCGGAGCCTGGTGTATACGGGACCCTGGTGTAGACATTGTCCAGTGTTTCCCGGCACAACGGGGAACCAAGTGTACACTACACCACCCCGACGTCGTCGCCGACCCTCGAAAAGTTCTGGGATCGGAAGACGGCCCGCCACTGGTAATGTATAGGCTCCAGCTTCCGAGTCTTCTCTCCTCTCCCGAGGTGGAGCTCACGGCAGCGCGTCGACGCGGTCGTGCAGGCGGCGCAGGCCGAAGTCGTCCAGCAGCCGGTGGATGCGGCGGGACGGCCTCCCGCGCGCCACGCCCCCGAGGCCGTCGACGCGCATGGGCACCTGAGCGACGAAAAGAAGCGGGGTCTTACCCGAGAAGACATAGCGACCTTACAGTCGGGGCGTTGACCTAAGGAACCCTAAATAAGGAACGAGGCCCCTTTTTCCATAAGTTGAACTTCGATTTGCGATCGAAAACATGAGGGAAACCTCAGGCAAGCTGTGAAACACTTGAGAAACGCGGAGCCCCTCCCCAACGAAAAGGGTTCCTTCTTCAGGGCCCCGACTGTAGCGACCTTACGCCGCGGTTCACGCGGGCCGCCAGCGTGGCACCCACGCGTGGACGTGCGGGCGCGCTCGTGCGACCGCGTGCGAGACGCTTGCGCGCGGAGGTCCGCGCAGCTGGCCCAGCTTTCCTGCGGCGCTCGCCTGGCGCTCCAGCGTCGCCAGCGTCCGGCTCAGGAAGGCGGCCTCTGAGCATCGCTTGATCGAGCCTCGCTCTCGCTGGCAGGGCCCTCCCTGCGACCCAGACGCTGCATCTCTCTGCGCACTGGGCAGTTCTGCGCGGCTCCGGGCCCCAGGGCCGCCACATGTCGATCCAGCTCAAAAGTGCCGCGGAGGAACAAATGGTCTAAGGCTCTGGCCGTGATTTTCCGAGATGTTGCGCTCTTACGCAACGTCGGGATCTCAGGGTCGGCCCCTGTAGCCGACTGGACCCCCGTGGGTGGGCATGTTCGGGAGCGGCCAAGAGGGGGGTGTCCAAGAGGGGGGGGGTGCAACTCATGACCGGCGGCATGTGCGCGGCCCAGCGGGGGGGCCAGGGACGCAATGAAATAAGAAGAGGCGCCATGAAATCTGGGGAAATATCATAACCCACGCCATGACATCCACCCCCCCCTAATCATCACCCCCCTCTTCTCCGCCCCCGACACGTGTTCAGCTTCCTTCCGGCTTCGCGGGGCCCCTCCCCGCCCTGGGGGTGGGCAGTTGCGAGGAGGAGGAGGAGGAGGAGGAGGAGGAGGAGGAGGAGGAGGAGGCGGAGGAGGAGGAGGAGGAGGAGGAGGAGGAGGAGCAGGAGGAGGAGGAGGAGGAGGAGGAGGAGGAGGAGGAGGAGGAGGAGGAGTGGGGCCGAGATACCTGGCCCAGCAGAGACTGGGGAGGGGTTAGCAGCGTCGAGCCTCGCGGCCCGACGCCAGCGCCTGCTGGACGCCCGCCGCCCCGCGCAGCTTCAGCGTGGGCACCTCCGGAAGAACGGCAAGCGGCTCGAGCACAAACCTCTATTCGCCGAACCCTATGCCCACTGGCGTGGCCTGGGCCCCACTGGCCGACTTACAGTCGGTGGACAACATATCGCAAGTTATCTGAGCATTATGATAAACAGCGTGCCGACAAGGATCAGATTCCATCGATCTCTGAGGACCCCCCATCCCCACATTTCAATGTTGACTTGCATTATTTTGTCCACCCGGACTTGGGGTGCTCGCTTGGTGCCAACATTGAGATGTAGGGGGCGGGGATTGTTCGTCGAGGTGGCGCCGCAATGTAGGTGCAGCCGCACGCGGTCAGGAGCAACTTGCAAAATTTCGTCGTCCCACCGTACCCCCCTGGATGGGGACATAATGTAGGCTGGTTCCTTCGGGTCTCGAGGGGCATATCCCGAACTGGAGTGGCGGGATGGTGGGGCTGAGACACCATGGCCCAGTGGGGATGGGGAATGGGGACAGCGATGCTGAAGGCCCGAGCAGATGTCCTGGATCGGCGCTGACTGGCCCCCCCTCCCTGGCGCGCGGAGCGCGCCAGGGGCGGCGCCAGGGGTGCCGCAGAGGGCGTCTAGCGCCGATCCGAGAAACCCGCGCGGACCCCCCAAGCTTCTGCCTGCACCGTTTTCTGTCGCCGAGCCTTGTCCAGGCCCGCGTACACTGCGTCGATGTCCCGGAAGCGGCGAAGCAGCGCGGCGGCGGTCTTGGCGCCCACCCCCCGGACCCCCGGGATGCAGTCCACCGGGTCCCCCATCAGGCCGAGCAGGTCGGCGACCTGGCAGGGCCGCACGCCGAGCTTCCGCCGCACCCCGGCCTCGTCGTAGCGCACGCCCCGGGCGAAGTCGTGCACCGAGAGCCGCGGCTCCACCAGCTGGCAGAGGTCCTTGTCGCTCGTGACGACGACGCACCGGTGGCCGCCCCTCAGCACCGCGGTGCCGAGGGTAGCTATCAGGTCGTCCGCCTCGTAGCGCCCGTCGTCGAAGCACGGCACGCCGAGGGCCTCCGCGAACTTCCGGCAGCGCCGCACCTGGTCCATGAACGCGGCGTCGGGCTCCGGGCGGTTCGCCTTGTAGCCGGCGTAGAGCTTGTTCCTGAAGCTGGAGTTCAGGCTGCGGTCGAAGCAGAGGGCCATGTGGGTCGGCCTCTCGGCGACGATGTACCCCACCAGGAAGTTGGCGAAGCCCACGAGCGCACGCAGAAGAGCGAACAGCGGCACAGCACGCAGACCGTCGACGCTCCGCGCGGACTCCGCGCATCGGCGCCGGGCTGCCCTCCCCTCCGCGCGCCGGGGGCGGCGCGAGAGGCGGCGGCGCCGCCAGGCGGGCTCGGCGCCGATCCGAGGAATCCGCGCAGAGCTCCAGAGGCGCAGGTCCACGCCGCTCTTCCTCCTTCGGGCATTGGACTGCCGCCCCGCGGGGTCGCGGATGGACCCCGGCAGGGAGTAGAAGGCCCGGAAGACGTAGACCAGCGCGTCGACCAGGTGCACCTCTCGGCGGCGCGCCCAGGGGGGGAGGGCAAAGCTACCAGCCTGGAACATATCCCTATCCCTATGCTGGGCATCTCCTCATCACGATGCCAATCTTAGGGATTCATGTATCTTTGAGGGCGAATCCCTAAGATTGTCATCGCCTTTTGGCGTGTCAACCTTAGGGACAGGGATGCGGGGATGCGTTCGAGGCTGGTAACACAGGGGGCAGGCCTTCCCAGGAGGCTCCGAAGGCCTCCGGACTCCTGGGAGAGCTGTCTGGGCCTTCTTCCCGCAATCGCAGGGTGGCCTGGCACCCCAGACCCCCGACGTCATGATTTTTTCATGACGTCCACCCCCCGAGGTCTCGACCCATTCCCCGGGACCGGTTTTTCGTCCCGAGTCGTTTTTTGGCGCTCCCGAGGGCCCGTAAGGGCCCCCAGAGGCCAAAAAGAATGAAAAACCTCCCGTCGTGATTTTTTCATAACTCGAGGTGGCCTGGCCCCTTGGCCTTTGGGACGCCTGCTGGTCTCTGGGGCCACGACCCGGCTCTCGCGATCGGCCGCTCGGCACGACCAAGGAGGAGGAGGAGGAGGAGGAGGAGGAGGAGGAGGAGGAGGAGGAGGAGGAGAGGAGGGAGGAGGAGGGAGGAGGAGGAGGAGGAGGAGGGGGGAGGAGGAGGAGGAGGAGGAGGAGGAGGAGGGGGAGGAGGAGGAGGGGAGGAGGAGGGCAGCCCTGGATAACGCTCGATCGGCCGAGGCACCGCTGCCGGAGAGTCCGCATATGCCCCTCGGCCGCCAAGGCCGCCGAGGGCAGGCGAGCGCGCCCGCAGACCTCGAAAAAACCTCGAAAACCTTGAAAACCTCGAAAGCCTCGCGCCTCGAACCTACCGCGCCTCGCGCCTCGCGCCTCGCGCCTCGCGCCTCGAGCCCCCTCGGCCGCGCCCCGCCGCGCCTCGGCGCGCGCCGCACCGGCCCCGCGGCGGGCGCCCGCCGCCCGCGCGCCGGCGCCGCCGCGGGCGCCCGCCGCCCGCGCGGCGCGCGCCGCCGGGCGCTTCGCGATGGTGGGCCGCACGCCGGCTCGCCGCGGCGGCGCGGCGGAGGGCGCCGCCGCCATGGGGCGGCGCGGGTGGGCGGCTCTCCGCCGGCGCAGCGTCAGGGAGGGGAGGGACGGCTGCCGAAGGGGCTCTGGGGCACGCACACACACGTGCACACCAATGGCCGGAGTCCCCACATCTTCGCACATTTTCGGGGGCGTTGTCTTCCCCCCCACTTCCCACATTTTCCCATATTTTTCTGGGAATCGCAGCTCTCTGCCGGGCTTAAGTCGGGCGTGTCCCCCTACAGGGGGATTGTGGGCGAAAAATTCAAAGTACGCAAAAAATGGTCAGAAGACGCCCAAGAATGCTCAAAAAATAGTCCCCTGGCTATCTTTAGACTGTTTTCGGATGTTCCTCCTGTAGAGGGACGTGCCCGACGTAAGGGTGGGCAGCGCTCTGCCGGCGCAGCGGCAGGGAGGGCGGGGACGGCTGCGTTCGCCGCGCTGCTTGTGCGGAAGCGGCCGCCCTGCTCTTCTTCTGGCCATCGCTCGGACGTCCATTCCCCGTGCTTTTTGCCGGTGTCGTGCGCGGTTTTTTCGCAGGATGATCCAGGACGCTCCTCAGGCGCAGCGTCAGGGGGGGAGGGACGGCTGTGTTCGCCGCGCTGTCTGCGGAAACGGCCGCCCTACAGTCGGGGCGTTGACCCAAGGAGCCCTAAATAAGGAACGAGGCCCCTTTTGTCCATAAGTTCAATTTCGATTTCCCATCGAAAACATAAGGAAAACCTGAGGCAAGCTGTGAAACAATCCAGGAACACCGAGCCCCTCCCCAGCGAAAAGGGTTTCTTCTTCAGCGCCCCGACTGTTGTCTTCTTCGCGAAGGATACGTACAGATACAAGGGGGGAAGAGCTCTGCAGGCGGAGCGTCAGGGGGGTAGGCCGGCGGTTTTCGGACATTCATCGATTAAGTTCCTGGCGGTTTTCCATCCTCGGGATGCGCTCCTGCAGCTGCGCCTCGCCAGGGGCGTTCCAAGTGTCCCGGACGTCCGCCAAAGGCCCGAATTATGGTCAGAAAACAACGTTCCCTGAGATTTGGGCGTTGCCATTTTTCCCCAAACAGCTTGCTGAACGGGGTGCTGTTGTGATAGAAGCTAACTCTGGCCGAGGGAAGTCGGAGCAGAGACATCCTCACAAAAATTTGATGGTCCGGGCCGTTTCGCTTGAGACATCCTCACAACTCTCGTTTCTGAATTGGCCGGGATTGGCCGTTTCGCCTGAGACATCCTCGAAAAGAGGCGCTCCGGGACGCCGCGCGAGAGGTGGTCCGGGCCGTTTCGCTTGAGACATCCTCGAAACTCTGAGCCCCGAGGTGCCGTGCGAGAGGTGGTCCGGGCCGTTTCGCCTGAGACATCCTCGAAACTCTGAGCTCTGAGATGCCTTGCGCGAGGTGGTCCGGTCCGTTTCGCCTGAGACATCCTCGAAACTCTGACCTCGGAGATGCCGCGCGAGAGATAGTCCGGCCCGTTTCGCTTGAGACATCCTCGAACTTCTAAGCTCTGAGATGCCCTGCGCGAGGTGGTCCGGCCCGTCTCGCCTGAGACATCCTCGCATCTCTGAGCTCTGAGATGCCGTGCGCAAGGTGGTCCGGCTTGTTTCGCACAAGACATTCTCGCAACTCTGAGCTCCCAGATGCCGCGCAAGAGGTGGTCCAGCCTGGGGGCCCAGAAGACCACATGTTACATATCCTCCCTGGGACCCTGGGAGCCTGCCTGAGACATCCTCGAACTTCTGAGCTCTGAAATGCTCTGCGCGAGGTGGTCCGGCCCGTCTCGCCTGAGACTCGCAACTCTGAGCTCTGAGATGCCGTGCGCAAGGTGGTCCGGCCCGTTTCGCACAAGACATTCTCGCAACTCTGAGCTCCCAGATGCCGCGCAAGAGGTGGTCCAGCCTGGGGGCCCAGAAGACCACATGTTACATATCCTCCCTGGGACCCTGGGAGCCTGGCTGAGACATCCTCGAACTTCTGAGCTCTGAAATGCCCTGCGCGAGGTGGTCCGGCCCGTCTCGCCTGAGACATCCTCGCAACTCTGAGCTCTGAGATGCCGTGCGCAAGGTGGTCCGGCCCGTTTCGCACAAGCCATTCTTGCAACTCTGAGCTCCCAGATGCCGCGCAAGAGGTGGTCCAGCCTGGGGGCCCAGAAGACCACATGTTACATATCCTCCCTGGGACCCTGGGAGCCCCAGGAGGCGCCAGGGACGCCCAGGACAGGCCCCAGGGGTCACCAGGAGATTCCCAGGAGGCTCCCAGGAGGCCCCAGGAGGCCCCCTTATCAGAACGTGTCAAGTTAATACACATCCGGTGTCGATTCGTTGATTTTCCCTGCTCTTGTGGCCCTCCATTTTGAGGGGCCCAAGCGGCCACATGTTATCCCCCCCTGGGAGCTCCAAGAGGCTTCAGGAAACCCCAGGTGGAGTTCAGGAGGCCACAGGAGGCCCAGGAGGAAGCCCCAGGAGGTCCCCAGGAGGCCCCAGGAGGCACCAGGAGGCCCCCGCAACTCGGAGCTCTGAGATGCCCCCTATCAGAACGTGTCAAATTAATGTACATCCGGTGTCGATTCGTTGATGTTTACCTAACAGCGAAGACTGATAGGTTTCTAGTGGTCTCAAGAGACAACATCATGACTCCCCAAGGGGGTCTGGGCAGATGCCGGACGGGTGCCGGGGAAAACCGGGGACTCCCCATTTTGATTGCCAGGAGCTACATTTTGACTGCCCGGAGCCAACAGAACACCATTCCCAGGCGACATTTTGAATGCCCGGAACCAACTGTAGGCCACTTCGTGTTCTTCGTGCTCCCAGAACACCATTCCCAGGCCACATTTTGAATGTCCGGAGCCGGCTGTAAGCCACTTCGTGTTCTTCGTGTTCCCAGAACACTATTCCCAGGCGACATTTTGAATGTCCGGAACCAACTGTAGGCCACTTCGTGTTGTTCGTGCTCCCAGAACATCATTCCCACGCCACATTTTGAATGCCCGGAGCCAACTGTAGGCCACTTCGTGTTCTTCGTGTTCCCAAAACACAATTCCTGTACCATATTTTGATTGCCCGGAGCCAACTACGTGCCACTTCGTGATCTTCGTGCTCCCAGAACACGAGTCCTGTGCCGTATTTTGAATGCTCGAGCTGAGGCAGGCTGAGACCGAGCCAGGCTGAGGCCGAGGCAGGCTGAGGCTGAGGCTGAGGCACGCCGAGGCAGGCTGAGGCTGAGGCTGAGGCAGGCTGAGGCTGAGGCAGGCTGAGGCTGAGGCTGACGCAGGCTAAGGCCGAGGCAGGCTGAGGCTGAGGCAGGCTGAGGCTGAGGCAGGCTGAGGCTGAGGCTGAGGCTGATGCAGGCTGAGGCTGAGAGGCTGACGCTGAGGCTGAGGCAGGCTCAGGCTGAGGCTGAGGCCCGAGGCTGAGGCTGAGGCTGAGGCTGAGGCAAGCCGAGGCAGGCTGAGGCTGAGGCTGAAACTGAGGCAGGCTGAGGCTGAGGCTGATGCAGGCTGAGGCTGAGGCTGAGGCAAGGCGGCTGAGGCAGGCTGAGGCTGAGGCTGAGGCAGGCTGAGGCTGAGGCGGGCTGAGGCTGAGGCTGAGGCTGAGGCTG